TTCGGATAGAGTAAACAAAATCGCCGCCTTTATATACGACGGATTGAACATTCTACGTCTTCTGATTGGATAACCCTTCTCTTGATGGACTATAAAATGAGTCAAGTCATTTTTGTCGAACAATCACGTGGTCAAGATAAACACTCAGTTGTGGAGCAAGCTGAGTGAAGAATGATTCAAATTGAGGAAGAGAGTTATTTATGGTGCAATGGAGCATCTCATTATGCTAAAGTGGGATAGTCCATTGCTTGGGCTTTGATTGGCTGCTGGTACCTGAGTGGAAGTATTTCTATATAAATACCAGCTTAATTTCAGTTAGTTTGCAGGGTTTGTATTAAGTTACAACCTGCTTTATTTTTGTCTGCCAGCTGGACGCTAGCTGGAACTCTTACGCCGGTAAGTGTCGTTTATTGTATTGTTATTCTACATCTCCTTCCCCCCCCATCGCGTGTTGGTAGTGGCCTTTGGGGAGGGATTTGTTCCTTTAAACCTGGCTGGTTGTGTGGAAGTAGTCTGGACAATGCCCGAGGGGTTTTTGTCCGTGTTATTGTAGACGGCTGAGCAGTGTTTGATGGTATTCCAGCGTCGAAAGTTTGTGGCAATGGTGTAGGGATCTCAGGTAAGGCACTAGGTCTTGGAACTGGAATTGTTGGTGTATCCAGTTTCCTGAGAAATCGGCGATTTCGTAAGGTAATTCTACCTGATCCGTCAACTCTGATACGGTATTGGTGGTTGGGGAGGATTTCAATGACCTGACCTGTTGTGTCCCATCGACGGGTTGTTGGTCTTTGTAGTGCCACTATTTGTCCTTTTTGAAGGGGGTTTAAAGTGTGTGCTGTTCTGTTGTATCGCTCTATGAGACGAGCGTTCCGCCGGGACAGACTTATCTCACGATTTTGGGCTGCGGTTATCCACTTCGCGTGTGGCTTATAGAGTGTGGGGGGTGGATGGTATGTAGTCACGTAGTCGGCGGTGGAGTAGTAGTTGAGCAGGGGATAGCCCAATGTTTTGAATAGGCGTATTCCTGTATTGGAGGATGGCTCTTGCTGCACGGTTATTATCCAACGATCCTTGGGCTCCTGTGTTGCCATTTATGATTCTTTTGGCTGTTTTGACAGCGAGCTCTGCTCGACCATTGGATTGTGGGTAACCAGCAGATGATAACCTTTGTTTAACAGCCCAGTCTTGCAAAACTTGCTTGAATGGAAGAGATGTGAAGGGTGGCCCACCATCACTGCTGAGTTCCTCAGGAGCGCCGTAGGTTTGAAATATGTCTCGGCAAATCGAAATAATCCTTGAGGCATTAGCTTCTCCGTGGCTCAAGTGGTATAGGTTCAGCCAGCCCGTTAACCTGTCAGCGCATGCTAAGTAACCATGGTTTCCAACATGGAAGATGTCCATGACGATTTGCTGAAATGGCCAATCAGGAGATGGTGTCAAATTGATTGGCTCTTTTGGTTGACTCGGGGCAATTTTTGAGCAGAACGTACAACCTGCTCTAATGTTACGAATTGAAGCATTCATCCCGGGCCAATAAACAGATTCATTGGCACGTGCCTTCATGCCAACTTCTCTTGATGTGCAGAATGTAGGCTATGTAATATTTTTGCGCGTTGTGAGGTGGGGATAACAATTCTTTGATCTAAGAGCACTAACCCGTCGTCAACACTTAGGCGGTGCCTCACTTCGCGGATTTCAGGTGCCGTGAGGATGCGCCTAAGTGTTGACGACGGGTTAGTGCTCTTAGATCAAAGAATTGTTATCCTAGTGCTGTGATTTCTGGGGATATTCTTAATTTGTCTGGGATCCGGTTTTGGCGAAAATGGAACAACATATGCATCAATTTCCCTTATCTGGCTGTGTCTTTAGATGTATACGTGCCTGTCGTTTGATTGAATGTGATGTGGGCGATAAGTGTGTCCATGGCGGCTTCATTAGCCTCTAGGCTTTTCCTGACCGCTTGAGCTGGTTTCTTAGCCCGGCATACCCTCGATAGGTGATTGGGCTTCCTACAATTACTACATGTTTGTCCCCATGCTGGGCATTTTAGCCGGCGTGATTCAGTTCCTGAGGTGCCATGCTGGTGGCTGCCACAACCTAAGCAAGCCTGGTGGTTTGATTTAACATTGCAGTTGCAATAGGTGCTGGTACGGATCGCCTCGTTGGCTTGTGGTGTACCCTTCTGTCTGCGGTATGTTGATAGCCGAGCAGCAGCTGTATCTGAAGGACTGGCCATTGAGGTTTGGTCCCGCAATGCTGATTCAAATGCCTCAGCATGACGGATATTTTGTTCAAGGGATTTAAGTGCCCCAGCTTTGGCCAGTAGGTCAGCCTGGAGTGTGTCATTTGCAATTCCACGGATGATCTGGTCCTTGATGTATATATCAGACAGGTCATGTTCACACGAGGGGCAGGTATAGTTACAATCAACGGCTACGGCTCTGAGGCGGACAAGGTAACTTTGTATTGGCTCATCAGCATCCTGAGACATGGAGGCAAAAGCAAGGCGATGGACAATAGGACTTGACCTCTGGGTGACCAACACTTCTACCATGTCAAGTAGATTATCTGGATCAGTGGTAAAGAAGTCAGGGTGCGTGTTGATTATGGCGTTTTGCACAGCCTCATCAGCACAATTGTATAGGTGAATATTAGCTTGGGAGTTTGGCATATTTGTCATCTTGGTAAAGACATCCCAGTCAATTCGGAACTTCCTGAATTGCTGTGGTGTCATCTCGAGATTGAGATGAGGAGGCTTGGCTGCTAGTGCCTGAATGCGGGTTGTCTGGGTGGTGGATTCCTTTAGCCTGCTTAATGATACACAGGGCTTCTCCCATTAATGTGACTCCCAGCTCCTTAAGCATAGATCGATCCAGCATTTGAAGGCTCTCGATTGTCAGCTTCTCGTCCGCAAATCTTGTTGCATGAGTTTTGGCCGAGTCGGCGGATATGCCTGCTTCAATGAAGAAGAGTTCCCAATTTTCAGGTGTCATAAATCCTGTTCGCAGCGCCATGTCGAACAATCACGTGGTCAAGATAAACACTCAGTTGTGGAGCAAGCTGAGTGAAGAATGATTCAAATTGAGGAAGAGAGTTATTTATGGTGCAATGGAGCATCTCATTATGCTAAAGTGGGATAGTCCATTGCTTGGGCTTTGATTGGCTGCTGGTACCTGAGTGGAAGTATTTCTATATAAATACCAGCTTAATTTCAGTTAGTTTTCAGGGTTTGTATTAAGTTACAACCTGCTTTATTTTTGTCTGCCAGCTGGACGCTAGCTGGAACTCTTACGCCGGTAAGTGTCGTTTATTGTATTGTTATTCTACAATTTTGATTGGCTCACTAGTACATAATATACACAAAAAACTGCAACACAGAATTCTTTGAGTCATTTTAAATTTTTGATCATATGGCGACTAAAAATCCTGGAAAAAAAAAAACTTGTAATATAAACTTATGTGTCCCAACCTATACTTCTGTTAATCTCACTGTAATACAAGTCCAAGATCAACTCAATATAGAGACTTACTTATTTACATTACTGTAAGGTAGTAAATGCTGGAAGTGGTTCATCATATAAGTAATTGATGGCAATGATACCTTTAAAATAAAAGCGAGTGCGTGTTTATATAATGTACGAAAATAAGTGATTGCACCTTCTTCGCATTCCGAACAGGAAACAGGAGTAAGCTGAGCTATGTGACGGATGCAGGAGTTGCAATGAATGACCAGACCGATTTACGATAGAAGAAATATCTTTCAAGAGTTACTGTGTTCGTAAGGGATAATTTGATTTCAGCGTTTCCATCTCCTATAACGGTGACTGTGCAATGAGAGCCCAGAATAACCGGCTAATTAACCCAAAGCTGGAGCGGAAGAGATGGATTCGTAACAGATTTTGTTATCCAAATTTTATGCAATATCCACAACACATCTCTCTCTCTTTCTCTCCTTTCCTCTAACCATGTTTCTGTTTATTTCTGTGTGGTTCCCCCCTCTCTCACCCTCTCTTTCTCTCTTTCAGTGATTGCTAGCATGTTACGAGAAAGTTTGTCCGACTAGGTTTTAAAAATAAGTCGGGAATTTTTTTGCGTGGCACTTTTTGGTCTACAGCTATCTCTATGACCATTTTCCCGTTCGCATATGAACACTTGTTTCTATTGGCAGCTGGGATATTCCATTTCAGGGCGTAGGCGATCATAGCTCTCCACCTCCCTCTATCCCTTGCAGCTCTCAACAAGTTATTTCCCTCTGACACCTCCCCCTAGACCACGTTCTGTCATCCACTTGCTTTAGCTCCCTAGGTATGGCATGTATTGTTTTCCTTATCTCACTTTCCCTCTTTTTGACCTGTGAGTAGCAGATTCGCCAGGCCCTCCTTCCTCATTATATGTCCCAGAAACTTCAGCTGCCTCTTCCTTATGTTATTTTCCTCATGCACGAGTGTAGGGATGGGATTCTCTACTACGCGATCGCCTATGATTTGCAAGACCTCTCTCTCGAGAGAGAGAGAGAGAGAGAAAGAGAGAGAGAAAGAGAGATAGAAAGAGAGAGAGAGAGAGAGAGAGAGAGAGAGAGATTCTTTATTCAGCATTAGACAAAAGAGCGATATTCGTAACTCCAGAAAGTGCAAAGTTTACGGCGTCTGTGGATTGATTCAATGCGGGTGGCCGTTTGAAAACTTGTCTGTTACACGTTTGCAGAGATAGATGTGACCGGTGCGTTGTCGGTCCTATTACAAGGCGCTGGAAAGAACTTTATCAAAAGCAAAGAATTTCTCATGTTTACGTACAGATAATATCATCTCGGTGTTTCCATCCCTTATAAAGGCGACTGTGCTATGAGAGCTCAGTATAACATGTTAATTAACCTAAAGCTAGAGGCAGAGTGGTGGATTCGCAACAGATTTCGTGATCCGATTTTTACACGTGGACAAAGCTAACTTACGATATTCACAATCTTTCTTTCTCTTTCTCTCTCACTCCTGTTCAATCTAACAATGTTTGTGATTATTTCTGTGTGGGTTGCCCCACCCCTCTCTTTTTCCCTCTCTTTCTCTCGCCCCGTGTTTTGTTTGCGTGTTCGGAAAAAGTTAGTCCCACTAGGTTTGAAAAAAAAAACAAAAAAACGTCGGGCATTTTTTGCGTCATCACTTTTTAGTCCGTTGTTGCTACACCTTTCTCCATGGCCGTTTCCTCGTTCGCATCAGATCATCTGTTTTTATTGACAACTGGGATCTTACATTAGCATAAAGCCGAAGTGGTGAGCAGGAGAAAATGTCAGTAATCATGAGGTGTTAGTACCCATAACACTATGTATAGGCTATGTTAAGCCTTTGCCTCACGCACGATCGGCCGAGGTGCAAATCTACATCTACCATACGATCGCCCCTGACTTCTCAAAAGAGAGAGAGGGGGACATTCTTTATTTAGCATTAGACATAAGAGCGAGATTCGAAGCTCGAGAAGTTGGAAATTTGACAGCGTGTGCGGTTTGATTCATTGCGGGTGGTCGTTTGAAAACTAGTCCGTTACCCGTTTGTAGAGATAGATGTGGCCGGCGCGACGTGGGTCCTATTACACGGCGCCGGCACGACTTTAAGCAAAGAATTTCTCAAGTTCACTAACGCATTTAACATTGCTATCTGATAAGATAATAAACAAATAAACGGCAGCTGTCTGGGTCTGTGCATCGCCATAGATGACGATCAGCTTTCTAAAAACGAACTACATACATACATCGACATATATATATGTGTGTGGTGTGTGTATGTGTGTGTGTGTATCTGTGTGCGTGTTTATATATATATATATATATATATATATATATATATATATATATATATATATATATTATCACATATGTAAACAGGATGATAGTCACCTGTGGCTATTGAATTTTAAGCGATCCTGAATCTAATGTTTCAGGTGAGTAATATTAAAACTGATCAACCAGCTAAATCAATACTATATATATATATATATATATATATATATATATATATATATATATATATGTGTGTGTGTGTATGTGTGTCTGTGTGTTTATATTTACATATATATATATATATATATATATATATATATATAAACAGGATGATAGCCACCTGTGACTATTGAATTTAGAGCGATACTGAAACTAATGTTTCAGGTGAGTTATATTAAAATTCATAAACCTGCTAAATCAATACTGCCTAACATATATATATATATATATATATATATATATATATATATATATATATATATATATATTTCATTGAAAACGACAGACAAGGTGCTTTTATTTATTTTTTATACAATTTCTGATCGATCTAATAATTTTTTTTTTTTCGAATGATAAATTATATAAAAACGGTCCGAATATTCTTTTTATCCGCGCGCTTTCGGCTATACATTTAGCCATTTTCAAGGATTATATTTTAACTGTTTAAATAAGAAATAGTTTGTATCTATATTTTATAAAATGTTTTCACGGTCAAGTTATTATGTCCATGTTCAAAGTTAATATTAAGTGTTGGTTTGTTTGTTTTTATTAATAAGGCCTTTATTATTTTTAGCTTTTTTTTTGCATGTAGGTTAGTGTTGTCAACATATGTGTTACGAATAGTGTCCGGTAGGCCACCATGAATATTTAAATGAGATCTAATTGAGCTATGGTGAGAAAGGTGTAGAGTGAGTCTGAGTATCAAACATGTTGTAGTGTGGCCTATATAATTATTTACGAATTTTGATTGATCAGGAATACAGTTCTTTAATAGTCATTTAAATTCGTAAATAATATTTGCCCTATTTAATTTTGTTCTAGGAGGTGAATTCTTATTTTTAACTATAAGGTTAGAGGTTTTACATTTTTTGTAATAAATAATTAATCTAATTAAGGCTGATTAATAACGGATTTCTTAATCAATTGTTGGATTTCCACATTAGTCGTTTCCTGTCTAAGGTAGATTAATAGCAACGGCGAGAATAGAAAAATAAACAATAACATTAATCTTTTTTATAAAAATCACATGAACGAAAATTATAAACAGGATGAATGCAGAATTAAGAACATTATAAAAAATGCATAACACCAGGTGACAATAGCAAAATAATTAGACGGGTTTTGACATTAGTGTCCATCTATATATTAACATTGTTTATACCACTCAAACGGTTGCCATATTCCCGACGTTTCGGCCGTTATTCGCTCCGACCTTCGTAATATGGTGGAATTCTGAACTGAACCTTTTAATCCGCGGTGTGGCGGTTAGACTGTTCAGAACCTACGTCATTGGGGTTACATGACCCAGTGGATAAAAGTGTTGGTTGAGTAATCCAAAATGTAACTTGGCCCCAAAAGTTGTGAATTCAATAGATGGCCACAGAGGAAGGAACAAAAAACTTGGAGAGTTGAGATGCTAAATTGAATTAACTGAGACTGAGATCTTCAAAACAGCATGGTACGATAAACAGTAATTTAACTGAGTTTTATTTACGGCTTATCAAACAATTGCAGGTTATTTAAAGGCAGATATTATTTTTAGATTGCAGGAATTCTTATTACGAGAAAATAATTGTTTACTACTACAAGTTTGACTAATAAGTTTATTTGTGCGTATGTGTATATAATGAACCGAACAGTAAATGTTAATCTCTGGTACTTTGCGAAATAGAAATATCAACCTAATAGGTCAAAGAATCAGGTGGTTCATCTGAGTTCTCAAAGATTGGAGTTACAGAAGAGAATTTCCAACAATCTGGAAAGCAATAATAACCCAGGCATTTAATGTAGATTTTGAGAGAAGAGCTAGTTTAAGATCATATATCTTACGGCCTATTGCTGGGATGAAATCAGGTCCATATGCTTTGTTTCATGCTAGACGCAATCGGCCTGATGATTGCCTCCAGCATGAGACAACCGGTCGCCTCTGAATATTGACTTCAATGCTCAGTTTTATATTCATATTTATATACGCTCTATCTCTGATATTGAGCACTTTATCTTTGATCACTTTTTTTATATAGCACACCTTAAAACTACATACTTACATATATATATATATATATATATATATATATATATTTTTAACACCTATACTCTAGCGTTGTGTAAAAACGAAAAGACTAAAGACGAAATAAATAGAAATCAGTAAAAAAGGAAAAGACTAAAGACTAAATGCCTAGTCAAACGAAAAAAAAAAAAAAAAAAAAAAAAAAAAAAAAAAAAAAACCAACAGAGTAAATTACGTAAAAACGGAAAAGTGGTCAATGCACTAAATAGAGCAACATCCAGTAGTATCATGATGATCCGTTCGGTGAAACCTTTGTAGGTAGGTTCTATATATCTATATATCTATATATATATATATATATATATATATATATATATATATATATATATACTTAAACTTTATATTTAAACATGAAAACAATAAACAAAAACTATAATTTCTTGAAGCTATATACATAAAACAGTTGAAAACTAACCTAAACAAAATCAACTATAAAATCTCCGCAAATATTCTTAAATGTCTATAATTGGTAACAGAAGCCATTGGTTTATACGAACGGCTTCCCATACTTAATACTTCACGAATTCACTCTCGCGTGGTTATGTATGACGTCATTAGCTGCGATGCGATTTTCGCTTCCATCGTCTTTACGTGTTTATCGTTGCTTGGAAATTATCCATGTAAACAATCACATACTATCATCACTGTCTTGTCCGTATATTGCTTAATATATTGTACAGTAATTGACATCTTTGATAGTGGGTTATGTAAGCCGAAAGCTTACATTGGATAAAAAAATATGGATCAATATTGTGATTTTCTTTCTCCGTTTTATGATAATGTTATTAAGCTTATCAAACGTTATGAAAAGAATTTACATAAAATAAATAGACAACACATGTCTATATTATTTAATGAACCCCCATATATATATATATATATATATATATATATATATATATATATATATATATATATATCAAATTTACTGTGTTTAGAGTAGAATACCATTTGTAGATAAACATTCAACAAAAAAATCAGGGAAAATGGTTTCAGGCATGAAACGGTCTGTCTCTGTCTCTTTCAGCCTGTCTCGCTCTCTCTCTCTCTCTCTCTCTCTGTCATGTATATATATATATATATATATATATATTGTGAGATCGGAACTACCTACACAATAGACTCTTCCAGATCTATATTAAGTATGCGACACAACACTCAGAGAGATGGAGAGTCAGTGAGAGCCGCGTACGACTACCAGTATTGGACATTAACATATAGTAACCTGTTGTTAATATATCTTTCTTACATCTAATTCGTGTTCCGTGTTTTCCTTCTGTGGGCCCCACATCAATATATATATTATGCGTGTATATTTAGATACATTTATATATGGATAAACAATATTTCTTTTAAAGTGTTTAAGACAATATCAACTAGAGTCGATCTCGTTTGTCGATGGATGTCAATGATCGCAGACTCTGGAAAATAATCTCCTTTCACGTAAATGATTTTTTTTTTCAAATCGACATCTTTTTTGTACTTCAAATTAATGATTTTGCTTTTTTTTTTAAATTATAGTTTTGAATGATTTTCTTTTCTTTCCGACTTGAGAAAGCCATCTGTAATTTTCTCGTCCCAGTCGAGGGAATTAATTAACATTTGTTTTTAATGATTTCCACCCTGAGCAAGGCGGGAATGGTTCCAGTGCGCGGGAGATTACAGAGGCTGAAAGGGAGATAATAATCAACAAATAAATACAAAAAAACTTGGTTTAACGGTGATTGACGAAAGGACACAAGATGAACGGGATTATATTGGTTAGGATGTTCTTAGTTGTTAGGGGAGTGGAAAGTGATGTTTACTAACAGTACCGCATGATCAGTGTAAGCAAGAGGACAGAGCTGCATAGTACGGCATGAGTCGGAGATAGAGGTGTGTTATGGGGTCCACCCGTTTCGGATATAATGGACTCGTCCTGCTGCCATAAAATAGCCACAGTCAGGCAGAGAAGAGGAGTCGTACAAGAGTCGTACAGGAGTCGTACAAGAGTCGTACTTTAGTCGTATGGTAATCGTCTGTGAGTGTCAGTAGTCGGATAGAGTGAAG